TTCACTCTGAGGGTGGTGAGGCAGTGGAACAGGTTGCCCAGAGAAGTTGTGGATGCCCCATCCCTGGCAGTGTTCAAGGCCGGGTTGGATGAGGCTTTGAGCAACCTGGTGTAGTGGAGGGTGTCCCTGCCCATGGCAGGGGGGTTGGAACTAGATGATCTTTAAGGTCCCTTCTAACCCTAACCATTCTATGATTCTATGATATTCACAGTGTACCTTCGGGTATTTTTCAGGACAATATCACAGAGTTCTATGCTCTTTGGGAGCGCTTTCATGATTATTGCAACACCAGAAGGCCAATAACAGCAAGTAGAAGTCATAATAGTTTTTATCTCCTGTCTATTACACTGAAGCCCATTTGATAGCTGATCCAAGTATGTTATTTTTGCTCAAACTCATGTAAATATATGTAAAAGTATGGCCTCAAATTTTCCTAACTTAGGAAATCTTTAGTCATGGTCAAAGAACAAGATATTTTCATGAAGTGGTTTCATTTTGTTTATAAATGTTTAAAAATTAAAAATTACTTTTCATGAAATGTTATTTATTTCACTAGTCATCCTTTCACAGAATTCAGCTCAGTTATTGAGATGTGTACTCAATGAACTAGCTTCTGCCAAACAATTATTCTTTGTTTGGAGCAAGAGTTGGTCTAGAACTTTGTACAGTACACAGATCACCATGGTCTCCCAAAGGTATGCAATTTTTATATATTACAATGTAGAGCTAAGGCATTGAGAGAACATTGGATACAGCTCCTACCATATAGTTTCTCAATTACACAGCAAACACGGAGGAACAAGATAATATCTCACTTTGAAAGATAAATGCCTATTAATTAATTACAAGTATGAAGCCAGATTTTCAGACACGCACATCTCAGTTTGTATTTACTGTCATTATAACAAAAGATGACTGTACACAAACTGTCCTTTGCATATGTAACTCCCTGATTTCCAAAGAGCTGTCACGGAGCGCAGATTTTCACAAGCACTGCATATACATTTTTGCTATATACACCTATTAAAATTCCTTTTCTAAATGAGAAAATTGCTACAAGTATCTTTCAGAATGCTATAATGGAAGAATTGAATAAACATCCTAGTTTAAACACTGACATTACATCCATAATAAGAAGGATCTGACCAGCTGAAGCTCTTCAGCTTCCTTTTATGTACATAACAGGCAACTATGTCACTCCAGTGAACAGCAGATGAAGAAAAGCCATAACCAACATCAGTTAGAAAACTGCAGGTCAGCCAGAGCATACAAGGCGGAGCCCAGAGGCAACCCCTTCCCTATTGCCAAAGTTCCTCTTGCAGCATAACGTAAGCAATAACAGCACAGTGGGAAAATACCTCACCTCTATGAAGATAACTATTCATGGACCTTTGAGGAGCTGCCAGAGCAACTTAGCAGCAAGTCTGGTGGTAAAATATGGGAGGAGGACAAAAGCATACCAAAAGGCCAGGTTTCTAAAGCTCATTTTATGCAGTAGGCTTCTAATCATGTAAGTGTGTTTACTCCTGTTAAAGTAAATACACCAAACAACATTAAACTATGAAAATGAGGGCATCGTCATAGTTTTTATAACATCTCCAGATCGCGAGTCTTCAGCTTTAACAAATGCATTCAGATGCAGTATGGATTTACAATGATGGAATTGAGCTCTTGGTTCATGACACATTTAACTGTCTAAAACTTATGCATGTAGACTAAGTTTAGTACCTAGAGAGCAATGACCGATTCCAGAAAAGAAGAAAAAGAAAAGCAACTCTGTCCTAAGCTTGGTAAAATTACTTGCTCTCTGGAGACACTTATCTCCCTCCATTGATTAGAGAAAGAATCTGGATTATCAGATTATATTAAAAATCAGCCTTTTAGACAGCTAAACTTAACTGAAATGAATCCTCCCAAATAGTTATTTCACATTAATATCAAAACCAGTAAGCGTTTTCATGGATAATAAAAAGCTGCAGCAATCTATCCATAAGTCTATGTCACGTATAATAAGAGATATAATCAAAAGTACTCTATAGCCCAACTTGAACATAAATAGTATAGGCCCTATCTCTAGGATTCAGCTGGTTTCCAGACAGCACCCATTTTTTCCAAGACAGAGCGTAACACTCCATCACTTGCAAGGTATCTAGAAAACATGAGACTGATAGAATCATATATTTTGTCTTCCATCCATTGTTCAAAAACTCATGATATAAGGTAAATAAAATTCTGAAATATACCCATTCCATAGTTATCCAATTCTTAGTAAAATAAGTATTTACTATTTTCTGAAAAAAAGTACATCTGTATCTAATGTGTGCTGTGAGACTGTGTTTTTAATTTGGTGAAATGAATAATACAGAAGACTAAATTTGTATCAAATCAATCTTCATAGATTTAATTTTTTAAAAAGTAATTACTATATCTGTTTCTTTTATACTTCATCAGTTTGACAACACATGGAGATTATGACTTGCAAGAAAATATTAATATCATATTAAATATTATAACCAACTAGAAACACCAATTTATTTTTCTTTTTGTTTTGTTAAGATGGAACAAAACACCAAACAAAAAACACCCACCACACCAGCATACAACATTTTCATGAAGCAGGATAAAACACTCCAGGTGTGTGAAAGTCAGAAAGTTACACTCATTCAGATCCTGGGACTCATACTATTGATTCTCAAGTGAACATTCTAAAAAATAAATGTAGACCAATAAGTAATATTATCCTCTAAAATGAGCAGGGAGTTCTGTTTCATTAAAAATCAAAACCAAATGTAAACTGAAATGAGAACAAAAATCAATCGCTCACACCATTGGATGCCTACAAGAAACTACAGAATATGCAATACAGGGATACAGTCAAAAAGATTCGACTGTTCTGAAAAAGCTTTATTCACACACTCAGTGAAACTGGCAGGAAATAGCACATACATCTTAGAATCATAGAATAGTTAGGGTTGGAAGGGACCTTAAAGATCATCTAAACAGGAAACAGATTGTGGACTCATTAAATTCCCCTAGATTTACAGCCTCCACAATCCCGCAGGGAGGCTTTTCCATACCTGCACAGCTCTAATAGTTGGAACCATCCAACAGACTGAAAGTTTACACTCATCTAGTCTTGTCTTGAGACTTTTACCTTCAACAGTTCTCCTCCAAAGTATATTCTTATCACATCTTTATAAACAACAATCTTTTCCGCTCTCAGCCACTCTCTCGCAAAATTAAACATACCACATCCTTTTATTATCTCCTAAAGTCTCCTCATGCTTCAGTCAGCCTCAATACCACTCACAGCCCTGCTTGAGTTTGTGTTTCTTAAATGTGCATTGCCAAAATTCTACAAAATTATCCAGGGCCTTGAGAACAATATCGATGCTTCTTCCTTCTTTTCATTAGGACTGCATAGGCCACTTCCACAGCCACGTGTCACTCCTGACTCGGACACCACAAGCCACTGTCATTTCCAGCAACATGCATTCAGTTGGTAGGAGAAAATTCTCACAATTCCCTAAGTGTACGTTGTTTCATTAAACGTTATCTCACATCGACTGTCATTTCCAATCACCTCATTGTCCCTGAATGACAGTCCAGTCTCCCCCCAAGGGGTTGTCTGTAAAATTTTGTGAGGTGCTTCTGTTACTATTCACTTCTACCTTTGAACTTGGGTAACCGAGAATGAATTCAGTATTTGGACATTTGTACTGCATACTAGCAGGCCTTGGTGCTTCAGAAGAAAACTCTTTTAGCATCATCCTCTAAGACTGCCTGTGTCCCATGAAACTAAACACAAATAGCTTAGTCATTTCCATTGTGCTGTTGTCCATGGAAACAAAGTTTATCCTTAACATAATGATCCAAAAGTATTCCATAGTTTATTATTGCCCTAATTTATTTAATGTAGTTATCTCCCATTAGTCTCTACAGGGTAGTATCTCCCCAAATTTTATTCCCACTTGGCGAGACTGCTCATGCTAGAGTGTAGGCGGGGTATTATTACTCCATGTGAAACAGACATATACTGAGGCAGCTATCCTGCTCAAGTAATGTCTTTCAGTCTCAATGGCAGGAATCTTCTAATTAATACTCTAATCTGAAACGCATACGAGGAGGCATGAGCAGGGCAGAGCAGTGTGTCAGAGGAAGATATCTAGCAAAATCCCCACATTTCAGTCATCAGCCCCAACTCGTATCTATTCAGCATCAACCAGCTATGTAACACTATCAGTCTCCCAAGAGGCTGTTTCTCTACACTCTGCTTCTTGTGGTGTAGACTTCCTATGTCTTCAGATTGCTCTTCAGCTTGTGGCAGCTCCACCTTTCTTCGCTTCCTGAGCACCACCACCTCCCTACCGCTGCCTCACCTTCCAGACTACTGCCTTGGCTTCTCCACTCCTTGATTTTCAATACAGATCCATTGTGGTGCCTTGATATAAGCACTGAGCAATGTATTTTCCAAACTGCCACCAATTCCAACCCTTTTTAGGAAACTCTCAAGTAGTACTTGTGTAGAAATGTTTTGGTTTTGGTTTGGGGTGTGGGGGAGGTTGTTTTGTCTTGGTTGGTTTTGTTTGTTTAATTGTAGCAAAATATTTTATTAGCACTATGTAAATATTGAATATCAAAAAAAACCAATCAACACTTGGCAGAAATAACCCAGAAGGTCTCTGTTCAACACACTTTCATAATACCAAAATGCACCAAGTCTTGCAATTCATTTAGCAACATATCTACTATTTGAATTATAAGACAGTATTAGGCACATTTTTTAAAATTGATCATTTTAGCTACTATGCTTTGTCCCACAAATCAAAAGCTTAAGACTATTACGGAACAAAAGCCTGTTTTTAATTTTACAATAGAATATATAAATAACTTGAATGTGTTTGGGATCAAGACATTAAAAAGATCACATTAGCTAGAGTTAAGAAAGTAACATTGTGCTATTTAAAACTCAAATTAGAATAATACAATACAATACATACCTATATCATATGCAAGAAAGTCAGCAGAAAAGCACTTTGCACCATTACTCAGGGAAGTATCATTATGAGTGTTGCCACCAAAAATGAGCATAGCTCCGTTGATTAAGACAGCTGAATGAAGATACCTTGCAAAACCACTCTCTTTCAAAATAGTCCTGCAAAACACAAGAATAAATTAATATATACTAAAACTTGAAAAACTATATCTACACTTCAAGGACATTTATAGATTAAAACAATATAAAACACAAGGAAAACACTAAACTAAAGCTATTAATAGCTATGACCAAATGTATTCTGTTTTTAAGATTATGAATTTTCTCATGTTAAATATATTTAGCATTCATTTAAAACATCATGCTTTTTTAAATTAAAAATTCAGTTTGTCAAATAACGTATTGGAAGTAAATTATGCTTACATTCTTCAGAAGAGAATAATGATATGGTAAATTTTACTCAAAACAATGAAAACTCATTCATATTAATAATTCCTATTCGTATATATTCTTAACCATGTTGGATTTTTGCCAAAGAAATGCAATAAAGAATTCTTTAAAAGGCTAAAAGAATCTTTAGACCACCCTAAGTATTGGAAAAGGAGAAAAATTTTTGTTTCTTTGTTCGTTTTAATTAATTGAACACTTAGACCTGGAAAAGAAATGGCAGAAGTCATTCTAGTTATGATGAAAAACACTTGCATTGCTTCATAAATATATTCAGGCTGGCAGATTCAAACATACAGAATTTCAGTACAAAAAAAAAAACAAGTCATGCATATTCAGTCTCTGATCTCTCTTCATTTGTTTCAGCCTGTGTCTGTGCAGTTTGCTTTGTGCCAGAGCAACAACACGGGCCCAAGAGCAGCCCAGAGCTATCAATACTACAGTTTTAAAGTGGCAGGTGTGGGGCTAGTAGAAAGAACAGAATGCAAACTTGATTCAATCAGAGCAAATAAATCTTACCAAGGGAGAGAGTAACCATTTGTGGGGTTTGCCAGCTTAAATTACTTAAATAGACCAGCTGTATACACGTCTGTGAAGAGCTGATCAGACCACCAGTACAGAATATTATTTACATTCCCTTAATAACCTTTTACTTGTTTCAGTAATCTAATAGTTTTCAAGTTTACACTCTCACTTTCACTTGTGTTACTGCACACTGCTCACACCTGCAATTAAATTGTTTTGTCGTTCCTTTCCTGTAAAGAACATACTGACTTGACAATCTCTCCTTCTGATTGAATAATACTGTCACTCTTGAATCACATTGATAATATTTGTTCAATATTTTTACACCATCATAGAGTTTGAAGGAGACAGTTTAAAGTATGTCTCACTATTTAGAGATAACAATCAATAATCAAAATAATCAATAAACTCAACATATTTCAAGTGATAAGAGATTACATGTTTAAACAAGCTGGGAGGAAGGTATTCAACCTAAATTCTTGTATTGTCATTTAAATAGATTCCCCCATTTGCCTAGGAAGTAACATCAAAGGAAATATCAAAGACTAAATCAAAGTAAATAAAAGTAAATGAGATTTGTTTTTTATTGCTCAAAAATGTGATCATTCCTTCAAGCCACCAGCATACCCACCAATACGCTTCTAGTTTTAACCCTTTTTTTTGTTCTGTTAAGTGACTTGCATTTTTGTTGTGTATTTCTGATTAATACACTTTGAAATTAGAGCACCACGTGTGTTTTTCTAATCAGGAATTAGCTTGATACAAAATACTTATGGTACCTACCCAGAAAAACATGATACTTGGTTTCAACTCAGCAGTTAGCAACATATAAAATTAGGAATGACAAGGAAATAGAACACTATTTTTAACAGTTATTTTCAACTAGCAATGGGAGAATATTGTTGCTATAAGTTGAAAGAATGATAACATGCTAAGAATATGTTGTCCTTATCCGTTCAGACTACAGATTTCTTTCTGTCTTCTGCTTTACCAGTTTTTTACAGCTCCTACCTCCTAATTTACATTAATTGCCATACACTAGGCTCTGTCTTGATTATCGTGCCTTGCAGTTGTCTACAAATAGTTGTCTTGATCACTAAAGGCCTAAAGAGCCATACATTGTTCCGGGGAAAACTAAGGACTGCCTCCTCTCCACAGTGGATATAGCAGCAATCCTCACAGTTTTCCTTTGGGCTACTGACTTCTCCACTTGTCAACTGCATTGCCCCAGCTCTGGTTCCCACATTGTAACAGGGTTGAGTTTTTTCACCCTAGTTTTTGCATATGATGTGCTAAGCTTCATCTCTCTCGATAACAGTAACTCTTCCCCAACCTTCAGCAGAAATAGAAGTGTAATATAGACCAAGTTTGTCAATTTGGCTGTGATTTTCACTATTCATTAGCATCACTTACGAGAGCAATCTTCAGAACTCTCCAAAACGTATCAACCTCAAGTAGATTATGTGAGTCTCAGCATACTTTACACTGAATTCATGATTTACACACGTATACGTGTATCTGCACACATTAGTCCCTGTTAACAACGCTGATGCCAAGTGTTGCACACAGCAGCATGATATCATAATGGCACTAGAAATACCCAGGAGCCAGCAGGTGCTTCCACTGTTTCAAGGCATTGTCTAAGCCCAGCATTGCCTTCCAATTGCCAACTGCAGCAATAGGCAAGTAATGCAAAACAATCATGTATAACCCTGTGATTCTCCATCATGTATTAGAAATAATATTCACATTAGGAATTAAAATATTGCCCTCCCACATTCCAAGAAGCATAAGGCTTATGCCTAATTGATATGAAGAAATGAAAACCCACATGTCACTGAACAAAACAAGAAATCAGCTTTGTATGCTCAGACTTAGTGAAGTGTATGAACCTCAGCCAGATCAGACAGAGGAACAGAGTGAGTGAGTGCAACAGAAAAACAGAGACAGTGAGGACAAGCAAATGCGAGAAAAACAGAGACAGTGAGGAAAAGGCAAAGCACACGGGCACGAGAAAGCCATCGTGATTCCACCTCTTCCTCATACCCCACCTAGCCAGTGACGTGTTCGGGTTCAGTTGCCTCACTGAGTGCTTTGAACACTGGTTATAACACGTCACAGATACAGCAAAGATTTTATTACCACACGAATGTCATTACCCCATCCTCTCAGTCAATTTTCAGTCCCATATCACAATTGACTTCCAGTGTAATATCCATAAAAAAATAAGTTAAGTTCCCTACAAGCTGTAGAGAATGCCACATTAGTATAGATAGAAGCATTTGTTATTAGTTTTTATATGAATAACAAATAAAAATATTCCAATAGTTATTATTATATTGTTGAACAGATCTTCAAGGGATACTACATCACTTTGTTCCAAGAATAGAGTATTATAAGAGAGCATTAAAATTCCAGTAATTCAAAAAATACTTTAAAAGGGACAAAAAATTCTTGTAATATGTTTCCAAGTGCCATGAGTTAGTGGCATTTCAAATCAAGAGTGAAATCAAACCCACACATTTCCAACACCTGGGAGCAAGTCTTGTGTGTTTAAAGTTAACCCATTAGTTCTCAAGGAAATGTTAAATTGCAAGAATCAAACATTCCAAGAAATAGTTCTTGATCACAAACCATCTCTAAGGTAAGAAAAAACATTTAAGGTCACTTTCTATATATAACATGTAAGTAGCACTCATAAGTTACACATAAACTTCAGGGACAACACACTGAAAAAATAGAAACACCAAGAACATCAATAACTAAGGATCCCTATAAAATACCAGGAATTTTCTCTCTCTTATTTCTGAGTTTTGTCAGAAATAACCTTCCACAGCTCTTAGACTTCTCTGCTTATTTATATGATAGGTACTTGAATGTGCTTCAGCAGTATACTCATATCATGTGAAAACAGTACACATGCACTATTTCTGCACGGTGGTTATCTCTGGATAGGAGAATCTTTTATTTGTAGAACATGTGTAAAGCTTCCTTTGTGCCGCTCCTTCTATGTGTAGCTTCAATAATCCACTGGCTAAAGTCTAATCCCTCACCACAATTCTTCCATTTTGTTGCAGAGAACGTACTGTTCTGCAACATGCAAAGGAGATGGAGGCATCTACATAGAAGGCATAGTAGGCATCTACTTTACTAGAACCTTACTCAGTGCTGATATTTTATTTCCCAGTAACAAGTAATTTAGTTTCCTACATTATAAGTCTCACTTACCATGTCCGAGTATTAATTTCATATTTGTAAAGATCATCCACCAATCCATACTTATTGCCAGGTAATGCTTTGTATCCACCATGGACATAAACAGATTTTGTCAGTTCATCGTAGACACTAGTATGGCCATATCCACCTTGTACAATTGCTCCTTTTGTTTCTGGTACGAGCCAAGAATTAGACCCTGGAACAGATGTACAAAAGGCATAGGTTTAAGGCTTACTATTGCTAACGCACAATACTAGGAATTTTAAGTATATAAAATGATTTTCACTATAATTCCAAATACAGCATAATTAGAGACTTCTTTTAAGAAGTAATTTTATACCAATGTATCAAAATATCTGCAACTGGATAATGTTATTAGACCATTATCTGCTCTTCTTGATTAAATCACAAATACATCATTGTTACAGATTCCAGCAGTATCTCATACAGTCCCAGGTGCGAGTTCAGCACAAACAAAATCATTTAAAAAAAGTCCAAACCTTTCAGAAAATACGAAATTAAGAGTTATGAATAATTCTCTCTCAACCTTAATTTTGTCCCACCAGAGATGGTTGAGAATTCAGTGCTCCAGCTACCTCAGCTGCATTAGAAACACCTGTACTCAATCCTGGGGAATCTGTCTAGAGAAGCCTGGCAGAAACTGAACAGCTGTGAGTTGTGAGGAGCACGTAACATAAGGTAGCTCAAAGTACACATGGATCCAGACAGACACTTTGCTAGTAAAGTGTAAAATTATTGAGCTAAAAATCAGTTTCCAACTACTGTTTCTTAGTTATTTAACTGCAAGTATACCTACTCAGTTGCCAAAAACTCACAAAAGGATAATTTCAAAGCACCTCATTAAACTGGCACTTAAATCCACATTTCACATCACATCATTAATAACTGCAAATAGGTACCAAATAAAACCCTTCACAATAGCTGTTATGACTGAAGAATAAAACACAATTGGAAGCTATTTTACCATAGCAATAAAAAAGACAGAGAGGTTAAGTGACTTCTTGTTGCCTGTGGCCTTGAAATTTCCATTTTTTTTCTCCTCCATCTTGTCAGCTGATGACAGAAGCCACGCAAAGAGCAAGCCAGGAGGTAACTATTTCTTGTAGAAGCCAGCCTATTCAACAGAGCCTATGATGATCAGGCAACCAGTTCTACAGATGTGAAATGGAAGAAATAATTCACTCAGAGGCTCTTGAAGATTATGTCAGAAGACTAGAAAGCATGGACAAGGATTTCCAAAATGGAGCAGTCTCCTAATTCTTAACCTAAATTGGCTGCCACTATAAAGTTATTTATCCAAGGCTAGAACACAACACCATACACCTTGCTTCATCTGAAAGTTAGTTTAATTTCCATTTCAGTTTTTATCTGAGATTAAATAGGTAGCTTAAGATTACCTCTTTTTCCTCCGGATTCTTCCGTTCAGGGAAAAGGCTCACGACTTTCAGTTATTACTGTCGCTATTTTACTTTTATTTCATTAAAAGGTTTCCAGGCATTGCCTCTATAAGCAAGTTACATTTTTTTCTGTAACGAGTGCTTACAACACATGTTAAAAATACATGTTAAACTGGAAGACTTGTGCTGATTTGCGTGTATGAATGCTGATGTTTGTGTAATACCCTATTTATACCTGACACATTATATTTACACTATGTGTAGTGTAACGTAACTAGTATTTTATTCCAATCTCTATGTTGGATATTATCAAGCTATTAAGAACTGCAACTTTGAACACAATCAAATTTGTACCAATAATACCGCATTTTACATAAATATTACCTCGCTAACAAATAGATTTACTTGATAAAATTTATGTAAGGGAGTTGCTGAGGAATCAACCAAGAGATACACCTTCCTATCACCAACAAGATCCTCATGTTTTCATTTAAATAGTGATCAGTCCTAAAGATTGGTATATATGCTTTTTCAGGGAAAACTGTTTCCCAGATTTCAATTTGTAAGTCTAATAGACAGTTTAAAAATAAGGTCAAATGAATTTCTAAAAAAAAAAAAATCATAAAAGTCATTTAAGTAATAGGGGCTTCTACTTTTCATTTGTAATTTGACAGTTTTCATCGACACCTGGGCAATCTTCCAGAGAATTTTACCACATAAAGTTTCTCTTGAAAAGCTTAGGCAAGCCACTATGATAACTTCAGATCATTGAATCTGTCAGATACTAAACAGCTGGACACAGTTACAGGCTGCAATATTCTGGTCACCTTTGTCAAACAGAATCACGCGCTCCATGTCCAGCTTTACCATGACCATTTCCAGGAGACTGATCAAGTGGAGGAAAAAAAAGAAGAAAGCATCTACAAACACATGTAAACAGAAAAAGAATTTACAGCTGAGACAGAAGCTCCACCCATTAATTTAATGTAGTGAAGCTAAGGGTATGACTCCACTCCAAAATTGTGACAGACACAGCGTCCTGATTTTAACTCAGCCGGCAACTAAACACCACGCAGCTGCTCACTCACCCTCCCCTACTCCCAGGGGATGGGGAAGAGAATTAAAGAGGAAAATGGAAGGAGGCTCATGGGTTGAGATAAGAACAATTTAATAATAATAATAATAGTATAACATTTAAAATAATTATTATTAATAATATTAACATGTGAATATATATAATGATAATAATACATATAGACAAGTGATGCACAGTGTAATTGTTCATTATCTGGCGACCAATACTTGTCCTATCCTGACAAGTAATCCCGAAACTGGTAAGTCCCAACACTGCAATCCCAGAAAAGCGAGAGGCCCGAGAAAAGAACGAAAGAGAGAGACAGAACTCCAAGAATTCGAGAGAAAGCCCTCGGAAAACAAAACCACTTCTTTCCAGTCATCCTTCCTCTATACACTGGGCATGATGTTGCATGATATGAAATATTCCATTGGCCAGTTTAGCCCTCAAACCCAAGTCTAAATTCAAATCATAAAAGGAGTTGTGGTACCTTTGTCCCGGCCATGCTCCCCCCCAGCCTGTTGTGCTCCTGCACACTGGCAAAAACATGACAAGTTGAAAAGTTCTTGATGTCTCGGTACCAACTATAAACATCAGTGCGCTAGCAACATTCTTCTCATAACAAATCCCAGACTAAATCCAAAACACAGAGCTCTTCTAGCTGCTAAAAAGAAAAACTAACTCTGTCCCAGTCAAAACCAGCACGCACAGCAAGTGTAATTGTAAGTCCAGTAGCAAGCATTTTTAACAAAGCTGGTTAGATATTACCAAAGAACAGCAACCATAACGCTGACATTAAAGACCAGAGCAAGGAGAGACAAGATCTGGACAATTACAGAGCTTAATCTCACTTCAGTAATAGTTAGAGCTTTAGAAAAAGTGGGGTTTTTTTAAAAAAAAAGATAAATAAAAAATGTTGAAACTATTTCACTGGACAATATAAACGTACCAAACCATTTAGATCACGTTTACCTAAAAACTAATCATCTACAAAAGGAAGCGTAGGTGTTCTCAGTATCCGGGCTTCAGTAATGTCCTTACTACAGTGTCAAAATGGGAAATCAGTAAATAAGCCATTGTAACAGAATGGGATTTTGGCACCGAACAGGCAGCAGCAATGAACAATGTCAGAGGTGCTGAGATTACTAGGGAGATTTCTTTAAGGATCAGAACGGGTGCATTTTATGACACTGTCACAAATTTAAGGTGCAATTACTGCATAAATTTAGACACTATCAATTCATGAAAGAAGCAGAAAAACATGTAGAATGAACCGGATGATCTTGGCTACTGGAAAAAATGGATCAAAATTCAACAATAACTTAAAGATATCATGTACTGGGATTAGCAACATGAACTTCTATAAAATAGCAGCTCATCAGTTGACAATGACTGAGAAGAATGAGTAGGGGCACTGCTTCATCAGAGAAAGTCTATGAGCCATGACTTTCTCGTGGATACAGTACAAATGTCAGCTTCCTACGTAACAAGTGAGGTGTTCCCAATAAAGTAGGATTAAGGTTATTTAGCCACGCATTGGTGAAATCTCACCTAGAACATCCCACAGGCTTTTCTAATCATCCATGTTCAAGAGAGATTAAGTCCTTGTGGAAAAGGTACAGAGATGAACTATTAGAATGAGAAGAGAATAGATGAAGTTGCCTTAATTAGGCGTTGAAAAAGGAAGGACTGGTACCTACAAACACAATTCAAAGACAATTTCAGGAAAGGAGACAAGTTGCTTACATTTAAAAATGTATCACTCAGAAAATAAGTGAATATAAATTGGGCATTGAGAAAAGTAGGCTACTAATTAGAAGATGCCTAGTCACTAAAACTATAACCAATATTCTAACGGCACTGTGAACAAAACCCAAGCTGTTTAAGATTATTACTCATATATTTTCGCAAGTAATCATAAAATATGGTGTTTACATTTGAAAAGCACTGATTTTGATGGCCAAGGTGATAAATTCCAGGCTTTTGCTTACAGGAAGTTAATCACATGCAAAGATTTAACTCCATTAAATCAAAGAATGCAAAGCAAGTGAAAGAGACAAAACCTTATTCTTTCTTTTTTTCAGTTCATTTCTTTGTATGAAACTGATTAGGATGGCCAAAGCAAGAAAAATTGCAAATAATTTTATCAATCAAAACTGATTAAAATAACGTTTTCAGATTGTTTCTAAAAAGACATTTGGAAAAAATTAACATGTACTAAGTCCACTAAAAAAATCCAAAGGTAGATACATAGGCCTGATCTGCCCTTGCCACAATACAACCTTCAAACAGATCAGGTAAAAAGGACAAAATGTCCAAGAAGCACCTCCATGTATCATGTTCATTTCATGGCAGTGACAAACTTTAAAATTTTTTGAGGAACCACAAAGCTTGTGCTAACTTACAAAAAAGAGGAAGCACATGTTACATCACAGGGACATTTTTTTAAACACTACTTCAGAGAAACACTATCAATCAAAAGCAACCTGCAATCTACTTCTAAAGCCATAAAAATATTCAGCTTAAACAACAGTGATATGCTACTACTCCAAACAAATCTCTGTCTTCTAAAAAAATAAAATAAAATCACAGAAGATTTATTCAGAAGTTTCTTAATACATAAGGAGCTTTTATAAACCTCAGCTACAACAAAACACCATTATTATATTCACCTTGAGACTCACATTGAGATTCTTAGAAGGTTTATGAGGTATTGCTAACCTAAAGGGACATAAATTTCCCTGGGGAGGAACCCAGAAAAGCTTTATGGTTCAAGTTAGTAAAATCATTCACATAATTCCCATGCCAAGATTTATTGGTTCCTCAAAAGTCGTAAGTCTAGGTACAGGAAGAAAGGACAACAAGAAGCTCTTTTGTTCCTGCAACAACCACCATACCTTTGGATTAGAGAAATTAATTCCTGTGCTTTTGCATGGCAAAAAATCTGCCTGCAAACCAAGCCTGATTCTTCCAGAACTTATTCAGCTTTGATAGAAATTACTTTCTTCACTACTCAGACAGCGTCAGAGAAATTTTCAGACCATGCACACAGTTGATTCACATGTTTTGTTAATAAAGAACTACATACCTATGCGAAAAGCTAGGGAATCCATAAATAATTATTTGTATGTTTCTTGACCCAGACCCCATGGAAATCAGGTTCAGAAGGCTTTAGTACAAGAATTCCATGTATCAAGTGAAACATTATTAATGTTAATTCATTAACAGGACTGTATCACTAGAGGTTTCGATTCACATGAATGAAAGGGTAAGTTGTCTCTTTCTAGCCCCTTTCTTTCAGTAGGCATCTGGTAAATGCTTGAAAAATAGCATTCCTTTGAGCTAAAAGCCATAGCTGGTAACATTTAGAAAGAATAAAGCAGTACAATTTGAAATGTTAAGGCAATGTATATTTTCAAAGCAAACAGAGAGAGAAAGAAAACTGGGACTCTAATTTTTCTTTCCATAACATGAGAAGATCTTCTTTAATAACAATTTTTTTTCTATTCAGGTGGATTCACAGCAATACTTCTACCACTTCCTATGTCTTTTAAGTTTGGATTCAGAGCTGCTCAAGTCCAAAAAAACTAGTCATTCTTAGTTCACCATCTGGAATTTTATGGTTAAAAATGATCCTACAGCTGCAAAACTGTCAATAAATGCTACAGCTGACACAGAATTCAGGAAATTTTGCCACAAAATCCATTTAACTTAGGGGTGAGGCGAAGGAGGGTGATTCTATGAGGTAAAATGAAATATGAATTATCCACAGCAGAGACGGTTCAGTTACAGCGTATAGAGCATGTTCTGCATGTGCCAGTGATCCTTCATCACGAGCAGACTCACTGAAATCAATGGGTTTCCACAGTAATACTCCACATTGTTATAAGTTCAGTTTATACTTGATCCAAATGAAGCATACTTTAAATTTCTCACTAGTATGTGATGAAATTATCACCTCAGAAAGGAGACAAAAACTTGAGAATAATTCAGACCCATAATAACTACCAGACAAATAAGTGTTTTCTCCTACTCAAAGCTTATTGCCATGGTATGAAAGGTTTGGGTTTTTTCTTTGTTTGTTTTATATATGCTTAGTTACAGTCTGTTTTATTAATCCTCCACAAACATAGCTCTAATGTTAAAAAAAAATTAAAATGGGAATGAGCTGTACATTTCAACCATAAGTTCAGCAACAAAATCAACAAGACAGAAAATTTTACACTACAAAGTGAATCGTGTACTCCTCGTTCTTTGCATTTCCATCTTCATAATTAAACTAACCACAATAATAGGTGAGAATAATATTGGTACTTCTACTCCAGACTAAATAACCAGCAAGTGACGAAGCAAATTATTCAAAGTACTAATAGTTATTAGAGTAAACGAGCTTGCAGAAAACTAGAGCAACATATTTTTATCTTCAAGAAAAAAAAATTCTCTCACGTAGGTTAAAAAAAACTTTCAGAAATAGTTTTGGTTGGTTTTGGTTTGTTTTTTTTTTTACAAAAATTGGCCTTTAATTATTAACAGCCTGTTATTGTTACGAAACATCATTCTAAGACCAGAGTTTTATTGTAGTTTTATGAAGTTTAATCAAATTTTTCATTGTGAATAAAGCACATCATGGTGCTTTCCCTCTTATTCTCATTCTGTTTTATCCTTGTTCAACATAGCTATAAAATTGCAACACTACCATCAGGAAGCATAAGAATCTTTTAAGTTTTGAAGGGAAATTTCCTTACCCCATAAATCTGCCTAAACAGTGTTTAAACACATATGCAGACAAGCAAAAAAAGTAAAATGGAACAATTTATTATGCCTTAACATACAATTATTAATTTGAAATTTTGTATTATGCATTCTGTGATTGCTGAAGTAACTGAGGGACTCGGATCAATCCTATAGAAAACAAGGAATCAAAAAGAAGAGAAAACTATGATTTGATTTAGCAGGCATATAAATATTCCTAAAAAATGTATCAAAATGTGTAAATTTTCTTTTTTTTTTTTTTTTAATCTTGTCACTTAACAAGAGAAATGCCAGACAGACATGGAAGGTTATTTACAAAAATTAATGCCAATTTTCTCTTATTTCTTCTAGTAGCAACACATATCCACTTTAGAGAGAACCCTATATACAATTTCAAAAATCAGAATGGAAATATTACAGCAGCATTAAAGAACTTTCAAAATAGCTAAATTATTGTAGTAGGCACTGTTCATTGTATTCTGGTTTGCTTTTTCTTTTTTTTTTTTCCCCTCTACTTATTCTATTTTTACTTTATCTACTCTACGGTAAAAAAGTAAGTTTCAACACAACAGTAATTTCTGGTTTCAACCTTTACCCCTTTTAAGTGTACCACAGCCATGTACACAATAACACATAGCCAAAGTCATTATACTCCAAACGTGCATGAAATGCTACTGCTTAACAAGAAACCTGAGCTACATAATTTGAAGGAAAAAAGATAACTTTGTCTTTCTGAAAACAGGAGTGTTCTTCACTTAAAAAAAAAAAATCTGGATTTTTTTTTTATCAGTACATGACAAAAATTATTTGAAAGTGACTTACTGATGTAGTATTCTTGTACAATGCTTGTGTAACCATATATGGCAGAATATCCAAAAATGATAATCATAACCACATCTCTGCTGTCCAGCTCTACTATGTGTGCTGAATGACCTTCCACAGCGTACTGCTGGCCATGTACAAGTACTGCGGGAGTTCTGGTACTCCATGTTTGACTGTGTATGTTGAAAATCCACAGCTCATCAGTAACATTGCCATTATTTGTTTCAATTTTGCCCCCATACATGTAGATGTCTTCCTGTAAAAATCGGGAGAGAAGAGAAAGCAAATAATGGATTATTGAAAGATAACATCTGAACTGCATACTCCTGCACTGCATATTTCATAACTGAACAATCTGATTTAAATCTTCACATTTAACTAATACTACATTAAGCAGCTCAATATCAGACAGTAATCCCAGACAATGATATTTAAACTAAACCAACAATGATGATAAAGAGACTCTTTCTCTGAAAAATAAACCTAGCCATGAAAATGACACCAAAATGAATCTCAATCGGATTACTTCAAGCAGAAAAACTTTAATTACATGGCTCTTCTAATTCATACTGCAGCATTCTATTAAAAAAAAAAAAAAAACCTAAACAGAAAGGATATTATATTGTTTTCTTAAGGAAGAGTTCACAGAACTAAAATGTGATTTTCCACACACTTAGTCTATGGGGATTTCATTCAGCACGTGCACAAGAGAGCACATTCTCTGTTAAGAGTAAAGTAACTTAAGTCCTGAGAAACTTCACAGTCATCAGAGCCCAAAGAACAGGGACAATGTGTGTGGAGCATCCTCTTGGGTACATTTGCTAAAATCAAATCCCATAGAAGGGTACTTTGAGTTCTTTTAAAGGGATGCAAAACAGATTTTCCAGTCTTCATGACTTGCATACCTCAAACAGCAATGCTATCTCTTTTGATAAGTAATGAATGATTTATTTAACTATTGACTGAAAGGAAACCCTACTGAATCTCGAACTTCATATAGAGTAGCAAACCAAGACAAAGTTACAGAACAAATTCCAGCTTGTCAGCTTCACAAACCAGCCCAAGGACGGTTTAACCTGGGTAGAAAAAAAAATGCTTCTGGTTCTGAGAATGATACTTAGTCTTTGCGAGGACATACCAGAACCACATACCCCGGTATCCCATCTGCATGGTGTTTGTACAGCTGGCAGTTGTCTTCTACATGCTACAATGTAATAGTCTAGAGTTTATCCTAAATTCGATCTTACCTGGTTAAAAAAAAAAAAAAAAGAAAAAAAAAAGAGAAAAAAAAAGAAGCTGCAGGCTTCGCACATTTGGCAAAGTTTTGTTTGGCATGGAATACAGAGCCTCAGAAAAAAGACTAGAAGATAAAAAAACTACCTAGTATAAGAAGTTTGGACCAACCATGAAGAAAATCCAAACTTATTGTACGAAGAGCTGATGAGATCTAAACAAAAACGTAAACTGCATGCCATTATATACTTCAAGAAAGATGAACTCAAACTAGCAGGCGTGGGAAATATAGATGATCAGTAGAATGACAGTCTATTTAGTCCAGCAAAATACAGGCTCGAGAGGGTTCTAATTCTGTCTATGTACCTACAGTGGATGGTAAACAGAGCCCAGGTCCACACAAAAAACTTCCTCATTACTCAGTGCACTAGTCAGTAAACGATTGACCAAACTGTCTGACCTGTCTTCAAGAGTACACTTGAAATTTCTGTAGATTTTCAACTACTTTTTCATTTGAGGCAAGTAAACATTTATTGATTTGGAATTTAAAGTCGCTCCTATGCAGTGATACTCTGTGTTACAGATTAGTTTGGAGGGGTGGTGTTTGAACAAAAGATGTTCACATCCTTCAGTAGGAATTCGTAGTAGGATTTTATGTATAAAAACCCATTCTTTTCCTATGAGATAACACAACATTCCAAAGAGCTCGGTGAAGACCCATAAAAGGTGTAGGAGACCATACACTGATCCTAAGGAATGGCTTAAACAAACATTCTTCTTGATGGAAGAATCCTTCTTGAGGATTTTATAGGCTCATTCATTACACTGTCACATAGATCTCGAAAGTAAATCAGCAGCACTAACATAGTGGCCTATTTACTTATTTATTTTTAAATGCAGGTAACAGGGTATAGCAGAAAGAGGGAGCTAATTAGGGAGTTGCAGGTGCTGTACAATAGTATTTGTAAAAATTATTTCTGACACTGAGGAAAGACACTACACAATAAAGGTGACCTAAAGAGCTGCATGAACTTCGAAACGATTACTCAGACAGCTGACAGTAAGAAAGTCCTCCTCACTGTTCTGCGTAAATGATTCAAAGTTCAGATAAAAAAAATACTTCTGTGAGGAGCAATCTTTATAAATGACACAGCAGATCCTGTACACAAGACTATTTACAGAGAAAAAGACAAGAAGGTCATGACAACTGCTTTATCAACCACAAAAACAGATTTAACTAAGCTGTGCTCAGGGCTATTTCTGAGATTAAGAAGCTCCTAGTGCTGCTGAAAAACACTTTAAAAGATAGTCATGATCAGCTGAACATGGAGAAAGGTTCACAGATCAAAGTCAGTGGAAGAAAATATGTTACATGCATATTTATACAGAACAAAAACAATGTCCTAGGCACATAAAGGTGGACGTTTATCTGGAAAGCCTGATCAGGAAGAGATTGTCAGAAGGATACAAGCACAAATGGTCCTGAGTAGCCTAAAGACTGTGAAAGAAAAGAAGGAACCTCCTTATAAACTTATACCATCTTTATAACTTACTTACAAACGAAGCATAAATCAAGGTCTACGCTAAAGATGAGGCTTTCTGACAGCCACAATACACAAGATACGGAGATTCAAGAGTGCTATTACACCAAAACTGCTGACCTTTAAGTGAATAAAGCATACTAGGTATTGGTTTATGATAAGATAGCATACCACAAAAGGAGCGAGATTAAAAACGACGAGTATAAAACTAAGAGTCCTTGTGAAACTAGTGAGGAAAAAGTGGCAAGAATGTGGCCGAGATGGAGGATGTTAAAAATTGTACTCCTCAGCCTGGAGGAGGGACAAGACCAAGAGGCAGACTGTGCAAGGAACAGATAACAAAACAACGGGAAAACAAGCACCAAGAAGATATAAGGCCCCCAACACACTAATATTTTAAAGTTTTGATACCATGTGTCAAAAGCAACACTTTTAATCACAGTGGCAGATAGTGAAGGTATTTACTCAATAAATCAACATTGGTAATTTTAGGTACATTACTTCACATTAATAAAATTACCTAAAAACCCTTTAAAAACCTTGTGTTTTTTTCAGGAAAATTTCATATAAATATTACCATATGCAAATTGAAGTATATAAAACTACACTGTATACTGAACTCATAATTCAGAGTTTCTGCTCATTAGGGAATTCCAGCAAAACCAAGAGATTTCTTGCTGTAAACCAGGCAGGTAGGCAGCTCACTCATTCATGACATTCCCACCTACAGATCACATCAGTCGGTTTCTTGGCAACTATTTGTGCAAGCCAACAAAACAGCTAGTATAGCTCCTGTTAGTTTCAATGAAACCAAAACTTTCCAATAGATGTTTCTATTTTCTCAAATCAGATCTTTAACCTGAGAAAAATATTTTGGCAAATTTTTTTAATGAACCATAACGATAAAGAAAGATGACAAAAGGTACATGATCTGTAAGTAGTTGACTGTGCATATTGGGCAGAGAGGATGACAGCAGAAGGCAGAGACTGTAAGACCAAAACCAGGATTTGAACAAAATAGTTAAAGCACATTTCTCAAGAGAAGAAGAAAATATTTGTTTGATCTAGTATTTCTCTTACAGAGCAATGATTGACACACGCATTTCAACTAGCCAAAATGGAAACGAGAATAACTCAAATACAAGAGAAAAAGTAAACTGTCACATTTTGGAAAGCCTGGTGGAGAAATTAAGGTAATTTAAGGCAGCAAAATTCCTATTGATTTCTGGTAAGTCCCAGTCAACAGACTATACAGTAGACCAGCGTAACTCTTCTACATAGTTCACATTGAACCCTGAACAAACAGATGGTCAAAATCATTATTTCCTTTGACCTTGGACAGGCTTTCTTCCCTACGCTATATCTCAGTGTTAGTATTGATTTTATATTTCACATAAATGCAGTAATTCAAGACTTTCCTAAAACTTACCATATTTTTATTCTTTAGACTTTGCAATTTTTCTTTTTTCCTAAAAGAACAATACTTATCAGCTGCTCTAACTGTACCTGGGAATGCTACACTGTTATGCAAATCCTGCCTGCATTCCAAAAGAATCTTATCTGGTAGTTATCATTAAAAAAAAAAAAAAAAGAATGAAGCAAATGCAATAAGGGGGTAATTTATAATCCATTCCTAATTAATTGGAAGTAGGTTAATCATGTTAAAATAACTACATAATTTTCATTTTGCATTTAACTGTATCATGCCTGAATAGAAAATTTCTCTCTCAGAAACCAGTTTTCTGCCTTAGTTCTTATATAAATCCAATCCATTCCTGAAAATTTGGCCAAAGAAACACAACTCTCAAACGCCATGAAGAACAGTCACTTTCCATTTTCTTGAAACAAGACTATCAATCTGTTTTCCTCCCATAGACTGTACCCATGCATCAGTATATAAATTAACTTCATGTAAAGTAACAGGACTGAAAAGATCATCAGAACTTTTGTTCTCTATACTCACCTGAAACTTCTGAACATTTAGTCAAATCTGTACATCATTAAGAAATGTCTGGGGGAGTTTTCAAGCAAAATATAAGTAAGACTCAAAAAAAAAGTCATTTGGTAATAACTCATCCATCACAAGCTTCTTTTCTGCATGCAGTACGTAGCACCTGCTTTAGGACTGTCTAATACCTCCTCTTCTTTTCCCCAGACCACTTCCTCCTTTAACACGGTAACAACATCAAGAACATTCTTTTATGCGTTGTATCAAAAGAAAAAAATTGAATAATCAAAATCTCTACTTGATCCCATAATCCTGCCATTAGATCAGGACTGGAAAGACTGGAAAGCAGTCTTCACAACTTCCTCCTGCAGCCTGCTTTTTTATTCTTAGCTTATTGTGGAACTATATCCTCACTGGCTAAGAACAACCACCTAGATAAGAACCTGCTAAGTTACATGAGGACCACATGATAACCTAAGCTTCCCAACAGGACCAAACTGAAGTTCAAGAATTCAAGTACATACTGCAGCAATT